CAATTCTCAGTGTGGTTCCTGGACCCCTGAGACCCCTTCAGGGGATCTGTGAGGTCAAAGTTATTTTCACAATAACACTCATACATCATTGACCATTTGCGCTGTGTTGACATTTGTGCTGGAAGGACAAGAGCAATGGCAGATAAAATGCTAATGCTAATAAATGCTAATGCCTTAGCACCCATCCGGACAAGGGCACCAGAATGCGCTTTATGTTCTTTACCAGCACACACTCGCAGGAAAAAGCAAACAAAAAGCCAGTTTCACTTAATCAGGGTTTCTTAGCTTTGGCATTATTGACATTTTGAGCCAGATAATTCTTGGTGGTGGGGGGCTGTCCTGTGCGATGTAGGATGTTTATCGGCCATCTCTCACCTCACCCATTACGGACTACCAGTCTTTCCTCTCATTCCTCAGCTGTGACAACCCAAAGTGCCACCAGACGTGTTTTTTTTTTAATTTCTCAGTTTTAACTTAATACATGTGACAATAGAGGGCACACAGGAATAGATAAAACTCAGATAAACAAAAATTTGTTGGGTTCTCCTATAATTTTTAACAGACCAGGAGGTTCAGAGACCAAAAACTTTGAGATCTGCTGCTCTATTTTGTATTCACAGTGCATTTTTGATGTCTATGTCACTAAATCAAAAATAACAAAAAGAAAAGGACCGCATAACTGATGATGAAAAGGATGTAGAAACAAAAAGTAGAAAAATAAGTGTGTGGGGGGGTTGGTGTTTTTTGACGGGAGGGGCTGCGTGTATCACCAGTGAGTACACAGCTCTTAGAGACAGAGAAGGCATACGTGACCTTGAGCAAGTTAGTCTTCTGTTTGTGCCTCAGTTTCCTCCTTATAAAATGGCAGTGATCACAGTACTCACCTCAGAGTATTATTGGGAGGATTCCATGAATAAACACATAAAAAGCGTGCCAAATAGGCTTGGCACTTAGATTAAGTATACCCTGTGGGTCAGCTATTATTATTCTTATAATAAATAGTTTGTCAGAAGGGATGAGTTCAGGCCTGCAATTAAGGCATACAGGTGCTGCTGACCTTACCCCCAGCGGAATGTCTGAAAGCAGAAAAAATGAAGTCACTGGTTCCCCAGAGATAAAATATCATGGAGCTGAGAAAGAAATCGGAATCTCCTAACCCCCTTCCTACCCTAACACCACACTTTCTAATCCCAAATCACATCTGTTACCCCTGTAAGGTACATGGACATTCTCCAAGGTTTCAAAACAAACGATGTGAGGTTGGCTTGGTTTCATATGTTAGTTCCAGAGCAGTTATAATTTTTCTTGTTCCCATACTGTGATTAATTTTCCCTTCAGCTCACTTTGGCTGCCAGAAGATCATCCAGAATCATGTTGGTTTCAGCAAATACCCACACAGTCCCTTTCACCGTTAGGAAGACACATGCTTTAAAGAAAGGGCTTGCTAGGGGCACCTGGGTGGCTCACCCAGTTAAGCATCTGCCTTTGGCTCTGGTCATGATCCTAGGATCCTGGGATTGAGCCTGTGTCAGGCTCCTTTCTCAGCAGGGAGTCTGCTTCTCCCCCTGCCTGCCACTCCCCCACTGCTTGTGCTCTTCCTCTCTCTCTGACAAATAAATAAAATCTTTAAAAAAAAATAAAGGGCTTGCTAATTTTTACGGTGAGAAGAATCCCTAATAAAACCATAGGGACACTTCTTGGATAAACAAATGAAATGTTTGTGGCATAGTTTTAAAAAATGCTGAAAAAGAATATGATTCTGAAGGTGAGGAAGGAAGTTGCTTGAAATTTGAAATTACGTTCTCCAGTAGTAAAGTGCCCCATCTCCCGAGTTCTCATATCTTCCTAGCCTCCCTGTATCAAACAGGACAAGTTTTACTGTAGTTGTTTCCTGTGGCTACTGAGAATGTAACCCAGTTAAATCCAAATGTCACCTTCTCTGTGAGATCTGACCGCCCTACACTATTTAACCTTGACTCCCCTCCCTGCGACTCCCCATCCTGTTTCATTTTTCTTTGAGGAATATTTCTTCGTCCAACACATGATATATTTTACAAAAGTATTTTGTTTATTGTCTGCTTGCCTTACTGTGATGGCAGGGGTTTTTATCCTTTTCCTTCAGTATTGTGCTCCTAGCTCTTGAAACTGAGCCTGGCACGTGGTAGGGACCCCCACATTCAGGTTTGCCTTTAAACGGGAGATGGAAAATGTCCCTGTGATGCACTGCATACTGTGAATTCACATGTGGAGACCTTGCATGAATTAAAGTATCTATGTTTTGCAAAATAACCTATTAGACTCAAGAGCATTTAACTGTCATTCTGCAACCTGGCAATTGTATGAGCCAAAGTATAAAATGGGCTGTCAGGAACGTGTTCCAATGGTCTCTACTTTTTAGTCATCTAATATTCTTATCCTTTAATGAATAAATGTCTCTTCATTAGATGTCCTGCTCATGAAGTGTGAGCCTCTTCCCATACACCCAGACGGAGCACTGTGACTTAGTGGTTCTTAAGAGATAATTATTAAGGGATTGATTGGCAGCTGTACTCCACATCCCCAAGAGATGTGTTCCAGTGCAATTGTACATGAAATCTTCGAAAACCTAATTAAGTATTAAAGACTAGGGAACTTCACTACTTAAATCTGTTTTGTAATAAGTATTTCTTGTAAAGCACAAAATTCCTTTACAACTACATATTTTATTTGTAAAGTCATATTTTGGCATTTAAGTTTTGCTTAAATGAGTGAATCAAGACTTATACACTGTGTGTAGATGCTACAGGCTCAATTCTGTGCCAGGCTGGTGATTGATGTTGAGAAATAGCCCCTTTAGGAGACCTGACTGGTACATATAACCATTAGTGAATTATAAATGGAAGAGGGAATTGCAAGTCCCTCCAAGGCAGAGTCTACCTCTTATTCACCGTTGTCATCTAGAATCTAGCACAAGCATATTTTAGGCATGCAATACCTATCTGGTGATTAAATTAAAACATGAGTACACAAATAATCAAGTGCAAAGTACTAATGAGATTTTTTAAAAGTCTATAATACAGTGAAAATTCAGAAAGAAAAGGTCACTAGGAATGGCTTCATGGAGGAGATAGGGTAGGAGTTACGTCTAGAAAGAAATTAAGGCTTCAAGTGCTAGAATAAAAGGTAGGAGGGAATATCTAGATAGAAAAGTAATTTAGGCCTAAACACCTATCAGTCAAAAGGATTTTGAACATCAACTTCCAGCATATATTTATTTAAAATTATATTTATATTCTATTACATTAACATAATGAACAGTTTTTTAATACATTTAAAAATAGGATTTTAAAGGGGGAATTAAAGATGAAATAAACCATATTTAAAATTATCTTTATAAATTGTATATCATCATTTATATTGGGTACAAATCTACAGTTCATCTATGCTTTGATAATTTTGAATTTTTTGGCTAACTTCCAGTCATGTTGGATTAATCATGGTGCCTTATGGTTCCTGAAGAGATAGGTATAAGAGACCTATTGGCTAAGACATTTGCTTATTACTCACTCATGCCTGCATTAATCATATTGTCTTTCATCTTCCGTTTCTCTGAAGGAACCAATTTAACTCATTTGTGAACATGAACTTGATTAAAGGTAGATAATATGATCTGCTCACTTGACCAGGCACATAGAATCCATAATATGTTGAAAAATCCTTAAAATGAACAAATGAGTGAGAATACCTTGTGGAGAGGAGGTAAACCTTGCACACCATGGCACCATCTGACAGAAGGATGGATTAAGGGTGCCACTGACCAACCTCCCCCTTGCGGGCAGAGTTATTGAGTCAGAGACATGGAGACTGGCCTGAAGACACAAAGCTGAGGAGAGTAGAAGCATGGGGTGAGACCTTCAATGGTATTCAAGAGGTCTTGACCTGACAAGATAGGCAAATGAGACTACTGATGTATTTTTAAGAAAGGACTAATTAGGGAGAAGTTTTAATTTTAAAAAAAGTTTGTCCTGAAAATCAGGAAAAAAGTCAAAATCTCAAAAAAGCCAATTCAGAGGCACTGTGAATGAGACATTATTTGGCTTTAGCTAGCTCTCTCAACTCCCCATAGAAATGTCATCTGCTGATCAGGGGACTTTGTTTTTCTTTTAAAATACAGATTTTTGTTTTTCGTTGTCCTTTTGTTCCCCTTCAGCCTTAATTGATGTATAATTGACTGGTACAATTGTAAGATATTTAAAAATTGTAATGTGATGATTTGATATACGTATTCATTATGAGATGATTCCCCCACACTGAGTTAATTGATGCATCCATCACCATACATATTTATGTTTTTGGGCGGGGGGTGGTAAATGAGAACATTTAAGTTCTACTCTCTTAGCAAATTTCAATTATACAATACAGAGTTATCAACTATAGTCACCATGTTATACATGACCTTATTCAACTTATAGCTAAAAGTAAGCTTGTACGCTTTGAACAACTTCTCTCTATTTCTCCCACCCACCCCAGTCCCCTCAGTCCCTGTTTCTATGAGTTCAACTTTAACTTTTTGTTTGTTTGTTTCCACGTATAGATGATACCACACGGTATTTGTCTTCTTCTGTGTGGCTTATTTTACTTAGCATAATGCCCTCCAGTTTCATCCAAGTTGTTGCAAATGTCAGGATTTCCTTCTTTTTTAATAACATGATTATGGATGAATAGTATTCCATTGTGTATATCTACCACATTTTCTTTGTCCATTGATCCTTTTATGGACACATTGGTGGTTTTCATGTCCTGGCTATTATGAATAATTCTACTATGAACATGGGAGTACAGAAATCTCTTTGGGATAATGATTTTGTTTCCTTTGGATAAATACCTAGAAGTGGGATTGCTGGCCATATGGTAGTTATATTTTTTCATTTCTTGAGGAACCTCCATACTGTTTTCCATTATGGCTGCACCAGTTTATGTGCCCACCAACAGTGCACACTGTCCTTCATTGTTCTTGGCAGGAGAGAGCCAGGAGCTGCCTGCCATTCCTGGTGAGTCAGTTGGCCAACATGGAACATTCATTTCATCATATTCTCCTGCTGGAGATTAAGAGCATCACTGACGCTTTCTCCTCCATCCTGGGCCCTCAGAGCAGAGATATTTTCCGCATGAGCAACAGCTTCACCACCATTGCCAAGCTCCTTACCCAACAACTGGAAACTGCCAAGGCCAGAAGCAGCAGGTGAGCAGGAGTTCCTGTGTACCTCAGGGATGTTTCATAAACCCATGGAGGTGTGCACAGACAGTAGGCACTCAACTTCCCAAAGAAAACCAAACCCACTGTCTCAATGCAGAGCAACTTTTGAATAAATTATGGCATTTGCCAGAATTTTTTCTAAATCTGTGAAAACCAGAATGTAACAAAAAAATTTCTAAAAAGTGCATAAAATGTGGCAAAGGAATAAGAATGTAGTACAAATAATGCTTATATCACTCAGTCAAGAAGCATTTAGCAATTATTTACTCTTGCCAGGAATTCTTCTAGAAGCTAGACATATAGAGGGAGATAAAACAAATTCCTTGTACCCAAAGAGCTCACTGTCTAGTAGAGGAAATAAATATTTAAGTGGGTAGCTAGAGAATAGTGGGAAGGTCATGCTTAATCAAGATGTGGCCAAGGAGTCTGGGGACACACAAATAGGTATATCTACTTCTGCAAGGAATGAAGAGAAATAGGAAGCTTAGATCAGGGAAGGCTTCCCAGAAGAGACGATATTTTGAACCAAGTCCTAAAAGATGACCAGATTGCACCAGGCTGTCTTTTGGGGAGCATGTGAAAGAACACAACACTTTCTAGAAACAGAAGTCATTTTGTATGGGCAGGGTGTGTGTTAGAAGGAGAGCAACATTAGGTAATGCCAATGAAGGGGTAGGCAGGGACCGCATGATTGTGGGCTTGACACCTTCCTAAGGAGTTTGAATTTTACTCTGTAGGCTATGAATAATCACTGTGGGGTTTTATACATGGCAGGATATTATCAGAATCCATGTTTCAGGAAGCTCACTCTGATTCCAATGAAGAGCATGTCTCAGGGAGAGGCAGACTGAAGTCAAGTCCAGTGAGGGAAGGACAGAAGAGTGTCTATGGGTATTAGCCATAAGTATTGAAAATTGTGGTGAATGAACCACCAGTGGTATGGATGGAAAGAAAACAGAATGCTTGGGTTTGAAGGGAGAGAGTGGATACAATGCATCAAACTGGCCAAAGTTTGCAAAAAAATTTGTGGAAAAAAATAAAGATCATGTGAGATTAAGGGAGGGGCTGTATTTTAGTTTCCTCTATTTTGAATAGGGAAGCACTTGGAAAGTTTTATAACCCTTAGAAGCTAAAAAACAGTTTCCAATATGTACTCTCATTTGATCCTCATGACCACCCCACAAGGTAAGAAAAGCAGGTATCTTTAGTCCTATTTTACAAAAGAAAAAACACTTCTATTTTTGAGGTGAGAGGTGAGTTAAATGTCTTCCCACAGTTAAATAGTGACTAGGTGATAGAGGATGGACTCAAACCTTATCTTCACACTATGCACTGGAGGGTATTCAGTTCTAGAGAAGGGGCAGGGCCCATTTGAGACCAGTGTCAAATTTTGTGAGTTTTTGGGATATCAAATGATGCCTACCATTTCCAGTGTGAATCAAGGATTCCAAAAACGTAAGAAGTCACCTTGACAAAATAGTGAGCATTGAATCATCAGTGTCTACTTTATGTCCAGTTTGGCACAGAGTCTGGAGGTTCCAAGAGACATAAGACACCATCCCTGCCCTCAAGGGATTCACAGTTAGGTATGTGAAGGGATTTTGGTAGAAGTGCATACAAAGGGCTGTGGAGCATGAGAGATGTATTAACTAATAGCCAGGAAATTATAGAATGTTTTACAGAGAAATTGAAATTTAAGTTCATCTCATATTTATTGAGTAGCTTCATGGGCCAGGCATTTCTCTAGGTACTAGATTAAGTTGTACAAGATGAATGAAAGTTCTTCAGATAAGGGTAAAAGGAGACTTCAAATACAGAGAATAGCATGTGCAAAGTTATAGGGGCTTAAAAGTGTGTGACCCAAACTAAGGAAAAGGGATTGATTCATTGTGGTTGGAGCAAGTACATCACGGCAGGGTGGGAGAGTAAGCTGAAATGTTAGGTCAGAGGCAGATTATCAGAGGCTTTTACGTGCTGTGTCAGGAAGTGAGGAGCTCATCCCTTAAGCAGTATGGAGGCTTAGAAATATTTTAAACCAGGGAATGATCACAGCTCCTAACAGAGTAATTAGCAGGTAGGCACTTGATAAATGTTTCTTCACTGAAGGACCCAGTAAATGAGGAAGCGGCTAAAGATGTGGAACACTGAATGGATTTGGCTGGAGCAGCAGGATGGCAAGAGAGTGACCAGGATAGTATCGTTGGAAACTTAATAAACAGGCTCTTTCAACTGTGAGGGAGGCCTGAACTAAACCGGTAGTATTTAGACTAAGAAGTCAGGGAATACCATTATAATGAGGAGAGCACAGAATTATGAGGAACTGATTACCAACGGGAGGCAGGGTGAGGAGAAGGGGAGGATTGTGGATAAAACCCAAAGATATATAGTTGGAATGACTGCATACTCAGTAGGAAGATGATGCTAATAACCATGAAAAGAGGAGCAGGAGGGCCAAATGGCAGGATCTCTTAGTCCACTATACAGAGAATATTATCTGGCTAATAGGGTCATCAAAGTCAACAAAAGCTATTCATCCAAAGAAGACTGCTTGCAAGTGCCCTTTTGCTCTCAACACCATAGTTTTGATTTGTTGGCTGGCTCAATGTATAAATGCCTACAAACCAGGGTTTCTAATTTTGGTACTATTGAAAATTAGGCCCGTTAATCCTTGGTTATGGGGCTGTCCTGTGCCTTATAGAATATTTGCGAGCATCTGGACTCTACCCAGTAGATGCTGGTAGCAGTCCTCCCCCAGAGTTATGGCAACCAAAAATGTATCCAGACATTGCTAAATGTCCTCTGAGAGAAAAAAAATCTCTTACAGTGAGAACTACCCCTATATACATATTCTATTCAAAAATAGTATTTTTACAGAGCCATGACCTGCCTAGCAACAGCCTAAACACAGCAGTATCCAAGAAATCCAAGGCCAGCATCATGAAGGGGTGATTTGTCATTTGTATGCAAGCACAAAGTCACTTTTGGCCAATTTTCATGATGATGTGGTTTTAGAAATTTGATTTAGAGCCTCTACAGCAGGTGTTTGGGGGAGCCATTTTGTATTCTGTGCATAGCCAGCCTGCTTAGTTCTTCTTCCAGGGATGAGCGACATGTGCATCAGATGTGAAAGCTTAGGCACATGTTCTGGCCAGTGTTCTGTGCACTCTCTGTTGCCTCTACAAATGCAAAGTTGCAAGAGGCCAGTTGGCATCTGCAAGAGTATATATGTGAAAAATATTTACATAAAGGAAAAACATGTTATACAAGGGTGTTACCTTGGGCATTCTAACAAGAAAATTGATCCTTAACAAGTAGGCGCAACCCAGTTAGCAATAAACAATTTCCCCATGAAAAAAAGAATTTAGGAGATATATACATAGGAGGAAAAAAGATTTTACTATTAAAGTATGAATCTGTAGGTATGAGAATGCATTTAAGTTTTCCTCCTTCTATTTTTCTGGGGGAAAAAACACATAGAGAGAAATTAAATGTAAAGAAATAAAAATGTCACCCCTCACCTCACGTACCACCACCACCACCACCACCATCCCCACTACCTCAACCTTTCTCAATTCAAATTACTCACTTTACCAGTGCTCAACACTCACTGTCAATCTCCTTCTAGTCGATTGTAATTATTCAGTGGGAACCTCAAAACACTGGTGTGGACAGCCAGCCTTTTGTATTAGCTGCTCATCCTCTCTGGGATGGTTGCTAAGGCTTCTCTCCCAACATCTTTTTCCTAAATAGCCTTCATTGTGACCACTTAGCTTCAGTAATTTTAATCTGTGTCCCCCAAAGAAGAAAGGTCTACACTTTTGTCTAAATCACCCAGCAAACTATGATCCTTACAATTAAAGGGGAAATGAATAAGTGAAGAATGTTGGAAAGAAAGTTAAAGATGATAAAATTCAAAACGGATGTCATCTAATTTACAAATCTGACACATAGCCCAGCAGGTCAGATTTTAGACTTCAGGCCCAAAATACAAGATTATCAGAAGAAAAACAATTAGCATCCTAGAGAAAATGAAAACTGAAGCAGCCAGGAGGCTTCTTTGTGCCAAGCCATTCTGAATTAATTGGGTGAGTTTTATTAGATGCACCAGGTACACACTTGCGCTTTTCTTGTTCCTGTGTTTTAGAAAGAACGTTTATATCTAAACAATAAACTAACAGGACAGTCAAGAAAAGCATTTAGATTTTGAAACATTCTGGAGAAGCAAAAAGAGGTAACAGCAATTGTGGGTTAAAAAGGAAGTGACAAGATAAGGGAAAAGATCTATACCTTTCGGAATCGTGGGAGCCCTAAGTAGCCTTCTGAGCAGCCACTAACCATTGGACCTTATGCCAACCAGGGGGATCTGGGGAAGGAGACGGCGTGCTCCCAGCAACTGTGTGCTGGCTGAGCATTCAAATGGTCATTCGGCTAGAAGACACCTTTGCCCAATGCATGTGGTTCCAGGGAGACTGCTCTAATCAGGCACCAACGATTTGGGGGCAGTTCGTCACAGGTGGTCTTAGTAGGTGGTTAAGCTCAGGCCCCAGTTGGGGACGGAAACTTCGAGAGATGGAAATTGTGAAAAGAACCAGGGGTTGAGGGGGTCAATGGGAGAAATGAGAAAAGACAGGAAGAAAGGATGGCGACGGGATAAAGGCCTAGGGAAACCAGAGGACATGGAGGAAGGGCGCCTGCACACAGCCGCCATCCCAGGCCTGCGTGGTGTGTGTGTGTGTGTATGTGTGTGTATCAGAGGGTTTACAATTCCCTCCAATCCAACTTTCAAACTCTAGCCAAAGCCATCAAGTCACTGGGGGGGGGGGGGGGGGCGGTTGCGCACGGAGTTGCTTATAAGAAAAGTTTTAACACAAAGCATGTGGTTAAAGCTTTCCCAAACCTCTGGCTTGGTTAAGTGGGTGGTACGTTCTTTTGTTGTTTTGGTGGTAATGGTGGCAGTAGTGGTGAGATTTTGTGTTTATTCTTTG